CGTCCGGCACGCGACCCGTCATTTATAACACGATCCGGCCCGCGGAGTCGAATGAGTTGCCGACCCCTGATTTAGACTATTGTCCTCATCTTTGCCGTTTCGACCGTTGTGCTCTTTTGTCTTCAGAGTGTCTGTCGATCTGGGTAACCATCAGGAAATGTCTTATATTACAGGTCGAGCAATAATTGAACAGTACTAATACAGCAATTGTTGTTCGCCAAATTTCCATTGAACTCACAAAATATCAAAACTTCTATAGAGTAGGCTATTGTCTCTTGAGAGACAGTCGAAACGTTGTGATAAAGTTGACAGAGTATAACTAAATGTCATTTGAAATCTAAAGTGTACAGAATCTGTGCGACAAGTGACCACACCTTCGACGGAAAAACGGTGTTATCTGACAAATTTAAAAGAGTACAAGGTCAAATTATGCGTAGGACATCTGGTGAATAGCGAGTTCATTTCAATAAGGATTTAATAAAATAATTTGCTAATGAAATATCTTAAGAGAGTGACGGCAATTTATAAAATTGAGATATTTAGCCTAGGGAAGGGAAAAAAAAATTCAATTTATTTACGATCGTCATTACTTCACGAAAAGACGCGGAATTTTTTTTTTTTTTTTACTACGATAAGTTTTTTTACGACTGAAGTTAAAAAAATTTTCGTCAGAAGCAAAATTGTCAGTATTGCGTAGAAAGAATTTTTACGAAAGATCTTCGAATTGTTACTATAAAAGTAATATTTGAAACGCTACATAAAAATTAAAAAATGAATTAGTTTGATAGAAAGGGATTTTTCAGGTAGATCCCTTTACTTCATTTTAACAGAAATATTCAGTGGCTGGCGATATAACCAACAAAAATGCTTACATCATGAATACGGCCAATTATCTTTTTGTAATTAGATGAACGGTGAAAGACGCAGATATTTGTTTACAATATATATGATAAGATGTAAAAATATACTATTAAAGGTATGCTATATTTATGGTGTGACGATTGCATTTAAGTATAAGACTTACACCCAACTTTTTTTTTTTTTTTTTTTTTTTTTTAACACACACATTCAAAAGTTATTTGAATTAATTAGCTATGTACAAAATTATTGCGTAGCTTCTGAAAGTGGCTTATTTTCACAAGATCAGAAAAGTAAAACTGTCTAAGAATCACAATTATTTTCTTTCAGTATTTACGGAGCGCGACAGAAATACCTCCCACAAGGCATTTAGTTACTAGCTGAAGATACCATTGTTTATAATGTTTTACCATTATGTGGGAGGTATTTCTACCGCGCTCTGTATTACAGTGAAAAGCGAGATCATTGTTAGAACGTGATAGATCTGTAAAATTTTAAAATTGTAGACTCGTTGAAATTGTTCCTAATTATTAAAAACGCGTAACAAGACATCATGAAAGAAAGCTCAAGACTATACATTTGTTTGTAAGACCAATGTGAATTGATAATTCTCTTTTTGGAAACAAAAACTTGTAATCTATGTAAACATCTTTATTTTCAAGAGAATTGGTTTATAAAGAGATGATTACAAAACAAAACGCATCGCTTTATTTTTTTTGGGGGGGTGAGGTTTATAATTTAGCCAAGCGTTTTAATTATTTTAGTAAAATTTGTAGATCGAATGTTTTGGAATAGAAAAAAAAAAATGATGAATGCTTCCTTTACCTAGAATTTTGTTTAGATTTAAACAAAAAAAAAAAAATAAACAAAAAAAAACATATCCACGAGGTAAGTTTTAAGAAAAAAAAAAAAAAGTCATTTAAAAAAAACGTCCCGTAAATATTTTTTATACTATTTTCCAATACACAATAGAGAGCATCAAAAGTTCTTAAACTATAAATTTGCAATTAACAAAATTAAGAGATTTTAAGTTACAAACACCAAGAAGTTTGTAATGAGGGACACCAGTAGCGAACTCAGTGAGGGTGTCAAGCTTTCCCGATGGCAAGTGGAGCGCCCCCACCCCATCAAATAAATCTACAATAAAGAAATAACCACTGACAATTGTTTTAATAATAATAATAATAATAAAAGAGGAATTAGAACTTTATAAAGTCATCTGCACACTATCAGTTACTAGAGTCCAATTTATTCAAAGCTAAAAATCACAAAGACAAGGTTAAGAAAGTCTCTGTCCAAGGTGAATTTGAAATCATGCATGTTGCTATCATCCATTGAAAAGGAATTGTTAGACGAATTGAATGCAGAAGCAATTATTGGCAGATTCGAACAATCTGCTAGTGAACACAAATGATTGCTCTTAAAGAATTGCATACAATGCTCTGTGCTTTTGAACTGTTAATCTGTAAATTGTGCATTTAAAAATATCAAAATTAGTTAAGAAATATAGATTCAAATTATAACACTCAGTATTTACACTATTGCCAGTAATAGGTACAGCAAGCTTACATTACTAATAAATACTCCCCTTAAAAAAAAAAAAATATATATATATATATAAAATTTTTTATTTATTAGTTGAAAAATTAAATGATAGCATTGTAGTTGTGGGTGTGCCCCCTTTGTCTCCTGGCAACCAATATTTTTAGACCCAGTCCGCCACTGAGAAAAACAGTGTAACAAGATGTTAAGCATGTCTAAGTAATTCATTGCACAATGAAACAAACATTGCAGTAGTCATGAGTATTTTCATGGAAATGTAGTTATTCGCAAAACATGTGAGGAGAATTTTGTAGAAAAGGATATTTTTTAGTTAGATCCAAACGGTTTTTCAAGTTAACTTTTATAAAGGAAAACCGAACAAGTGTCGTCTACGAATTGGATGCCGAGACATCAAAAGATTAAAATTAGGCTTACTTAAATATTTTAACTAACACCATATTCACATGTAGGATACTGCAATGAAGATTTTAAATAAAACATTTTAATTTGATCACCTTCAGATGTAGTTAATTAATATGCTCAGTTATTTGTATTAATTAAGTCCGCTAATAAAAAAAACAAATTTCTTAAAGCGATTTAAGCTTCGGAATATAATAAAACTCTTGCATTAAATCTAATAATGAATAACGTTTAAACAGAAGCTGAAATAAAATGTCAAAAAGACCAAGTATCTTTAAACAGGTTACTTGTCCATTAGATTAACAACTTAATCTACTTACTAGGACGTTCATAAAAACATTTAATCTTTAACGTACTAGATTAGAACGGAATTAAATTTTAAGAGTTAAATCTATTTCTATTTTACAGTACTGAAAGTTAAAATGTTTTAGTCATTTTTTAATCAATAACGAAGTTTCTTGTATTGCTTTTCAAGTCTATACTAAAAACCAGGTAAACAATAAACTTTTTAATTTAGGAAAATATCAAATCAAATTCAAAAAGAGAAAAATAACTGGTTTTAAATTCCGATTTGTTTAGTAGGTGGAAAAAAAATTAAGATTTAATTTCTTCTGAATGTTAAATAACGTAATAAACAGTGGCTTTCTTATGATGAGGGGAAAAAATGGCGTTTATTTTTCTTTACAAATGCGAAAAAAAATGGCGCTTTGTCGACTGAAATCAAGTTGGTCGAAATTTAATTCAGTTACTAAAACTATCATACAAGAACTTCTCTAGATTAATAGGTACAAGAAACTTGAATAAATATTTAGGATTCAAAATAAAAGGAAAAGAAACCATAACGAAACAGGTAAGAAATAGAGGCAACAGTTGGAGAAAGAAAAGAGGGGAAATTCAGATACAAAATATTAAAAAATATATAAAAAAAAAAAAAAAAAAAAAAAACAGTACGGAATGAAATAATTTTCATACATTGCAACAGGAAAACAATTATTTACCTTTAAATTTACAAAGTATTAATCCACACTGTTCAACACGTCTTAGGTTGCGAAGAAGAAAGAAGGTAGGTAGTCCACTTGATCAGGTAGAGTAAATGACAAATGACGGGACAGGTAAGAAATAGTGCGTGATAGTTAACTCAAGGCAAAACTTGACTCCTTCACCCCTTTTATATTTTGAAGCAAGAGTCCTGACCACCACTTTTTTTTCTTTTCTTTCTAACTCAATAATCATTTAGAATTGGGGATTACCAACGGTTGTCACAAGTGCGTAAATGTCGCACCCGTCAATTCATTTAAAGTATCCACTCATCTACCTTGTCCTAGAAATCTCCCGGCTACTTACCACCTGTTACAAGGGGTGGTGGGGAATGAAACAACAACAAAAAAAAAAACAATTAATGCAGTTAGCCAATCAGAGTAGAGGAAGAACCTGGATTTATCTGGCTTTTAATTTCTTTCTTTTTTTTTAATTTCTTCTTTTCTTTTCTTTTTCTTTTCTTTTTTTTCTATTTTTCTTTTCTTTTTTTAAAAAAAAACACCAGCAATTATCAATCGACACGCTAAAAAAAAAAATGATAATAAAAAAAAAAAACGTATTAAAAAGTCATTTTTCTCGGCTTACCCGTGGGGCAAAATTACTTCCTATTTTCCAACTGGCGCCACAGATCATAGTTCGAACCCAGTCTAAAATAAATACAAATTTTCAATGCCGGTAGCCTCTCCACATTTGGAAGATTGGCGTAACACAATCTTCCTGTGGACATTTTTTAAAAAAAAGAATTATTTCTGGAGTGAGCAGTTATATCATAATTTACACTATTTACTTTCGGATTATTGTCCTTATTTTTGTTGTTGCTATCAACAACGTTTCGGTCGTTGTACCCTCCGGCCTTCATCAGGTGTATCTCCAGCTAGGTAAAACCTACAGGGAATTCCAAACTGAGCCCATTATTTAATCTCTACGAGGATAAACTGTTCTCGTTCCACCGCTCATGTCCATGGATATCTCATTTAGTTCTTATTTTTATTACTGATCATTTATTACACGCCACGTTTCCACCGAATCCGAATGTAAATAGTGTAAACAATGAATAATAATATCTGGTTACTTGAGACTTGTGAGTTCAATCCTTGGGTCTGGCAAGGCTGAAAAGACACATACTCTTGTTCAGTGGCTTACGGCTATATTACGTTGTGGAAAACACCGGTTCCCGTACGACCATTGAAGTTAAGCAATGTGGAGCCCGGTCATTAACTAGATGGGTGACCGATTGGGAATACCAGGTGCTGTAAGTAAGCTTGGATGTGTGAATGATATACAGTCTACCTTTTCAAGAGACAGATCAGGCCAAAAAATGGAGTGTTGCTGCTATATATGGACAGGATCTGCCCACTTTACATTTTCTAGTCTTGATCAGATTTCAAAAGTGTCTCCGCGTCCTTGTGTGTGATAAATTATTTTGTATATATTTTTTTTGTAATATTCAACCTACATGACCCCACCCAATTTATATATTATAACAATTTATTATAACAATAATATACCCGTATAATCAATTTAAAGGGTTATAATTTTGACATGTACATTTATTTTGCTTTGGACTTCTGTCAAAAATAATTTAATTAATGACCTTTAACAATTTTTGTAGCACACCTCTGATCCTATCATGGCAAACCAATGTGCCATGGTACTCTGGTTGAAAATTACTGCTATAGACTTAGAAAAGATAGAAGATATGGTCTTGTTTAACAGGTCAAGTTAATTCAACAAAATCAATATGAAGTCTCTAAGATTCTTTCTCCAAAAGGAATAAACTTGTAAAATATTATCCCAATTTCGTTATAACTCACAAACTAAAGAGAGAAAAAAAATCTTCCTAATAGTAAGAGGGACTCATACATACAATCCATGAATAAAGAGGCTGGAAAAAAGGTCAGTTCCCTTTACTGACCCATTAACTACCTGACTTCTGCTATCCTCTACCTTTGCAAGAGACAGATCAGGTTGAAAATTAAGTACTGCTGCCATATATGGACAGGAGCTGCCCAGTTTTCAATTTCTAGTTTCAATAGAATCCAAAAGCATCTCCATGTCCTTGTGGCTGATGAATTATTTTCCACCCTACAACCCTTTTCCCCATGGACGCAACATTGCAACAAATCTCACTGCTCTATCATTATTTCCAAGAAATGTGTTCAGATGAATGACATTCCTTAGTTCCACCAGTTCTAACCTTCACTGCTAAGACCTGCCATGTCACGCACATTGTAGTGAACCACCCTTATTCCATTCGTATTCCATTGGGGAGTTGTAAGTTCCACGATTCTTTCTACGAACCGCTGCTTTGTAGAACGGATTCCTACGATCATGCTTCCCCGATCATTACATTAACCTGTTTGAATATCCGACGAGGAATCTTTCAATAGAACTCCCTATCATCCCTTCTGTTCTGTCTATCATTAACCCCCACTTTCGCATGAAATAAATAGTAATAACTATGGATACAAAGTAAAAAAAAAGAAAGTGTTTAATCACTTATTCCACATGAGTGATATCAAACTCTTTGCCAAAGACAACAATGAGTTGAAGGGTATCCTCAATATTGTACAGTGGTTCAGTAATGACATCAGTGTGAATTTCGGATTAGATAAATGGGCAAAAGTAACATTCAAGAATGGGAGAATTACAGAAACACACTAAATAGATTTACATTTTGCGATATTAGAGAACTGCAACAAGAAGATGCTTATAAATACCTAGGAGTCAGCGAAGGTGATGGATTACAACATACACAAAATGAAGGCGAAAGTAAGAAATGAATACTACAGCCGTGTGAGTCTAGTGCTAAATACCGAGTTGAATTAACAAAACAGAATATCAGCTGTAAATACTTTGGCTGTCTCTGTGGTGCAATACGATTACAACGTCCTTAATTAGACTATAGCTGACATTAAGCGAATGGATATCAAAACGAGAAAGCTTCTCACTTGCTACCGCATACATTATCCTAAGGCTAATGTTAATCGTCTGTTTGTATCCAGATCCGAAGGAGGCAGAATATTAGTTCAACTAGAACTGTCTTACAAAACCACACCAATCGCTCTTCAAGGATACCTGGAAACTACAGAAGACTGGATGATGATCTGTGTCAAAGAACATGAAAGAAATAAGAAACTTTATTCAGTAATAAAGGAAGCCGATAAATTCAAAAGGGAATTTCAAGCGGGTGAAGAAATGCAAGTAAACCGTAATACTGCAGCGGCAAAGAACCTAAAAAAAAGAAAGCAAAAGCAAATATAATGTACCAAATGCAGGAACGATATCAAGATAAGTCTCTTCTTCATGGTCATTAATCTGCCCGTACCAAACAAGCTGATGTAGACAAAGCCATGCCCATCAGTGGTGACGTAGTTCATGGTTAAAAGCTGAAACCGAAGGCTTTATTCTTGCTGCACATGACCAATGCTTAAAGTGATCAAGGATGGCAAAAGCTTTTCGAAATATATCTGTTTTAACAATAAATTATCCGTTGGAATTACAAGTTCTTGTTCTTTTTTAACTCAGTTTTTGGCCTGAATTTGAATTTCTGCCTAAATCGGACTTTGGCTCAAATCGACCTTTTGCCCGGAATTGGACTTATAGACTGAATCAAAGTTAAAGTGAAGTTTTGAAGTTCCATGGAATAAACTGAGGAATTCAACGTAATTTCTTCAAAATTGTCATTGCAGTTTTCTAAGCTGGACCAGAAATTGCTTCTGTTTTGGGCCAGAGACCCAATTAACCCTCTGCTAGTTTAAAAGTCCGAATGGAGTGCGGCTTTTAAGCTAGTAATCAATCAATCAGCCGAAGTTCACTTGATTTGTCGGATTGGCCAACTCAAGAGTTTCGCATCGAAACGCTCATCGGAGCCATATTTTCGATAAATCCATTGAAAGTATAATAACATCTCATATTTACAATTATCTGTTTATCGTAAGTAATTTGAAATTTGAAAGTTACGATTAACGTTTATTCCAAAAAGTATAAATATACATATTTGATAATAATTTCAATAGATTTATCGAACATATGGCTGATGAGCGTTTCGACGTGAAACTCTAGTAACAAGACAACCTGACGGAGTCCAGCCCTCGTTAGAGTGGTTTAATTTCAAAGTTTTCCTTCTTCTAGACTAGTTACCACGCTAAGATCAAAGATCTCAGTCTTCCCTGCTATTTAATCCATAGCTGGAGAAAGATGGATTCATGCCTTTTCCAGCGGCATTAACGAAACATAATCGTGCAGGAATCGAAATCGACATGCTGAATTGACTTTCCGCACAGATTTAAAGTCATTTGTGTGTTTCGTATAACAATATATTACTTTTAAGGTATGCTATATTTATGGGTAAACATGCTCAATATCAGGGACAGAGCGTGCGTAAACCTATAAGTGGGCACTGAGGTCAACACCGAGAGTCTGTTTCATGCTTCAGACTGTCGCCAACCGGTGTTGACCTTAGTACCCACTTATTTTCTAAGGTAATGGATTTTATTTATCATTCGGCCAGATTCCCATTTTTTCTTTTCTTATTTATAATATATATATATATATATATATATATATATATATATATATATATATATATATTATATAAAGAAAAAAAGAAAAATTTTAATTGTCCAATTTTATCCATATATATATATATATATATATATATATATATATATATATATATATATGGATAAAATTGAACAATTGGAAAATATTTTTTAGTCATTGCCAACGCGTCAATCCAACTTTATCAAGGCAAATTTAAAAGCGAAATGTTTTGTATTTACATGAAATACAAAATATTAAAAAGGGGAAGCTCTTGTGTAAGGCACCTTCTGGATATTGGTAACTTTGTTTTTTACTAAGAATTTGCAATAGATAAAAAGAAGGAATGGATTTCTGTCTGAGAGTACATTTTCTTTACTAAAATGACATTTTAATTCCAGTGCATAGGTTGATATCTGTAAGAGACAATGTTTAAACTTTAAAATAAAAATGGGGAGTCTTTCAAATACTGGCAGCCACTAAAAATTTAAAGTAAAATTTTGAATAAAAATGTCCGTTCAAAAATAAATCCGTTCGTTATATATAATAATAGATAGGTTGGTTAAAAACAAGGGAAAACGAAAAGATACCATTGTGATCAGTGCGAAAAGAATTTATTATATATTAATCATTAATCACAAGACAGAAGTGAAGCACGGAGATTAATGTTATGACCTCGGAATTTTCGGGCACGCCTGTGTCCTTCATCAGCGGTGCGAGAAATAAACAGAGAAACTGGGGAGACTCAGCAACGGTGTTTTTTTTTGTTTTTTTTTTTTGTTGTTTTTTTTTTGGCTGGTGTGAACTCGTTGTGGATGGTATTTTTAGTACAAATCCGATCCCTTCTTTATTCCTCGCTTGCGAATTTTTTTTTTTTTTTTTTTGAAATGATCGGGGTAAACGCAAAAAATCAATAAGACATTCTTATTTTTGTACATCCTTTTTTTTATATATAGGTACAAATATTTAAGTAAATGCTCTGTTTATAATAAACAGTATTAAACAATATTTACCGGCATGAATGTCCGAGAAATCTTCACAGAAAATATTCGTCCTCCTGTTTCTCAGACATTCAGGCCGGTAAATGTTGTTTAATACTGTTTATTATAAACAGAGCATTTACTTAAATATTTGTACCTATAAAAAAAAGAATGTATAAACATAAAAATGTCTTAAAAAATAATTGTCGGACTTTTTCCATTAGGATTAAACACTAATATTCCATGGTCATAATTTCATTCATCAGGTACAAAATTTGTGATCTGTTCAATGTGTTTTTTTATTAAATTCTGGGTCTCAGGGGAACAACGCTACATTGTATTCAAAGTTCAAGATTAAATATAATATAGCATTAGGGTATAAATTCAAAATACCCTGTTGAAAGGTAAATATCGAAAAATAAACTAAAGTATTAATAAGTTTAATAGGGATATTATCCGTTAATGATCATATCTCATTATTTAGCACATTTCAACATCTATATATTTTCTCTCTCTCTCTCTCTCTCTCTCTCTCTCATATCTCATATATATATATATATATATATATATATATATATATATATATATATATATATATATACTTTTAAGGTATGCTATATTTATAGTTAAAAGTGCTCAATACCTGGGATAGAGCATATGTAAATATAAAAGTTGACATAGAAGTCAACACCGAGTGGTATCAGTCTGTTGCATGCTTGAACGCAATCTTCAAC